GGTATTATCCATCGGTTATGCTAATTTCATAGTTGGTACCTATAATTAGGCACTACTAATTAAAATTATTATTACTTCTAAATAGGCATAATAAAACTAAATAATTGGTAGATAAAATGTAGGTACCTGTATTGTAAATGTATAGATTAGGAATCGAAAACCTGAGACTCATTATCGTGTAGTCTTCCACTCTTTAGAGTAAACAATAAAGATCAATATCGAGACCATCAAGTATAAATTAAAATTCGATTATATTATAATAAAATAAAGTTTTTTTTAAATTTAAAACTTATTATTATGTTTTTATTGTCTAACAATTTTTGATGAAATTGTTTAGTGAAGTATATTAGTAATTCTTTGTACTATAGGTAGGTATCATATTTTTTTTTTATCTTAATTAGCGCGGCTCTTTGAAAATTATGATTTAGCAATTATTTTAAAAAATAACTCATTTACAATAAAGATTTTAGATCCCTGCTATAAATACAAATACACAATATACAATAATTTAAGTCTGATAGATAAAAATAATATATCTAAACTTTAGTCTGTAGATACTTACGTATATATTATTTTTATTTAATATATATATATGACAAAATATGACTATATATAACAATAACAATTAACAACATGTATACATTCTAAAATAAAATAACTATATATTATATAATATTTAATGAATAATTTATATATAAATTCTTGATTGAATGTAGTTTTGATATTACTTCATTTAATCACTTGGAATCTAGCTGACTATTAATTAATTTTTTTATCGTGTAGGAATATCTTTAAAATATATTATTTAACAAATAATATACCTAAATACAAATTAGAGGCATTTACACGGTCAATAAAACGGTTACAACTATAAAACATGCATTTTAAGAACTTTTCAATTTTAAAGTTTATTAAGTCTATAAGACCCCATACATCTAGTAAAGGTATAGGTAAACATATTTAGTAATATAAATTATATTTCATGAGCATTTTTATCTGATATTTTATGTAGTATAATTAGTATCTAATGAAAATTTTAAATTAACAATAAAAAACAAAAATATGCTTTAACCAAGGCTTGCATTTGGAAAAAAAATTGTTATTCGTTATTTACAATTAGAACGTTTTACAAATTTTGAGTTTATCGTTATTCAGATTTAATATGTTAAATATACTATTTTATAAATTATAACTATTAAATAATTGAAAATTAATTATTTCATTTAATGATATACTATATATATAATATATATAGTATATATAGTATATATACATATAACGTTTTGCGTTATGTTTTATTTGATGAAGTATCATATATCTTGTTAATCGTTATGTTTTGTTTTGTGTTATTTAATAATTTATGTTTATCATTTTCCGTTAAAATCACGTTTAAAAATTTCAATCATTTTTTTGTCAAATAATATAACGTTATTATAACATTTGCAAGCCCTGGTTTTAGCAATTTTTTTTATTTATAACTTTCCTAAAACCATTATACCTAGGTACCTACCGAAAGATCAAAAATATCCAAAACCATCATTACACTTAAACAAAAATCAAAAATAAATAAACAAGTGTAACGTCTCCTCTTCGCTATAGTCACTACTATATGACAGAGTTATGTTTATATCAATAAGTCTCGAGGACTCGACATCGGTGTGTAATATTAGCGTTAAAAATCAGGATTACCTCATTTAATTAAAGTACACGAGTACCTATATAGATATATCGCACATACCTATTGATAGAAGAAAGATATTAAATAATATACTTGTCTTATAATAATGTATAAAGAATAATACGAGTGTTACCGAACCAGAGATGATGTGCCGTTGTGCCACGAGACACGAGTGTAGGTGTCAGCTGAATTGACAGTCTTCTTCACTGTCGAGTCTATTATGTTACACATTCCTATCAAGTATGCATCGGTCATAATAATATATCACGACACCATGGGCGTCCTTAGACATTTTCCTAGGAGGCAAAAATAATTTAAAAAATAAATGAAGAATTTTATACATTTTATTAACAGAACAATATCATGTTATTATTGCATTAAATTATTACAATTAGAAAACAAATTTAAAATTCTAAAGGAGAAAAGTTCCCTGTCTTGCAACCCCCCCCTCACACTGGGAACGCCCACGTACGACGCTTACCGGAAAACCAAAAGTCAGCAGTCAGCCTAGCTCGCCATTCCTCACACTCAGCATATTAGCTATGCCTATCTAAGGAGTAAATAATGTATGATGTCGATAGATGGCAATCGTTACACTAGTTTTATATTATTCCATATTTTTACTCGTGAATAAATTACTTGATTTAAAAGAAAAAAGGTTTTATACATGCACGATGCATCTATTTATATTTACAATATTTTTAGTAGGTATACTATTTAATGGAAGTTGTCGAGTAAAACCAATCCAACTCACTTTTTTTTTTTTAAAGTATAATAATAATAATAAAAAAAATACCAATAAAAAAGCAGCATTCGCGTATAAGAAAAAAGTTCTAAACAAAAAGTATACCTTAGAAACTAGTCAGTTTCTAAACAAAAATTGTATTCAAGTAAAAGTAAACTAAATATGAAGTACAAACTCAAATAACAATAATCTCAATGTTAAAAAGTTCTTACTCGCATATTATTTTTAAATGACTAGTCTATTTATAAATAACTAAGCTTATTAATATAACAATTCATATGAAATGTTCATAAGTAAATTTATTTTACTATAGTCTATTTATTCTTAAGTTGATGATTTTTTTGAAAACGATGATGCGTCTAGATCTAAAATTTGAACGATTATTACTCAATTATTATAAAATGTATGTACATATGATAAAAGTCATTATAATGGTTTTACTTAAAATATATGTAGTACTGAAGTCTGTAGTAAGTATAACAAACTTAGAAATTTTTGGATAATTATAGTATTTTTAATGATTAATATTAATACAATTAAATAACTTTAAAAATACTTGTTCAAATTTCGATTTAGATATATTGAAAATTTCAAAAAATAATTGATAAACAATTAACAAGAAGAAAGAGCTAATTATTATATTATTTTTATTTAAAAATAAGATATTATTTTGTTCCAAGTCACTTTAAATGATATAAAAAGTCCAAGTATTTGAAAACATGGCACTATTAAGAAGGATGTAAGTATAATAATAAGTTCCAACAAATAGAATTTGCATAATTTCATAATTAAAGTCGAAAATAAACGATAGAGTACTTGGTAAATTACTCTAATCACCCTGTACAGAATAAGAGAAATAAAGGTATAAATAGCAATCAAGTTAATTATATTTTAATTTCATAAATATGCTACACAAATACGATTTAAAGATTGAAAAAATAATAAATTTTCTTATAATTTTTATTAAATATTTAATTTATCTACTTGTATCTTTGCTTTTGTATTATTGAATATCTTTTTCTTTGTAAGAAAATAAATCGAGTAGTATGACCATTTTCCCTCATACTTACTAAATTATACATTTTTTATTATAATTTCACACTTGTTCATCTCGTCAAACCATTTAGCATTAGCCGTGCATTATACACTAGGCTTGATTTATCAATTTTCCTTCGTTACATTAATGTCTTAGGTTTGTGAATAGTACTTGAAGTACGAAATATTTCACAGAAAAATAAACATTATTAGGTATCTTGCTTAATTAAACATTCAAAAGTGTGATAAGGAGAAAGCCATCAAGTCACAATGACAGAGAAATGAGAATTGAAATCATATTTTATTAGCTTAATGGTATGTGGATGATACAAAAGAGGATATTACCAATAGTACTTATGTCTAGTTTAACAAGAGTAGATAGATATTTAGGGTTATTGGTAAACGGATAATGACTAAATATATGTATTATATATAGATATGATATTATGTATGATTAGAAACATAATAGATATTAGACTTGAAAATGTATAGAAAATCTTTCAACTAATAAATAACTTTAAATGCCTCTGGGTCAGTATAAATAATAAGAACTGTATGCAAAATAAAACTAACTTGATTTAAAAGCTAAAAAAATGAGTGTTGTTTTGACATGTTACACCCGTTAAGTCAAAACTGTTGTCAAATAAAAATGAAGAAAATATACATATTATCTCAGACGACTAATAATGTATATAGTACCTAAGATACAGTAGCAGAATTTAAATATAAATTAAATATTTTTGAGAGAGGTATTATGGATAATGTATAGACTTATTTTTTGTTTCTTGACCGCATTACACAGTTCCATTCTATAATGTTATGGCTCAAATATAATAAAAATTGACTTCCTTGTTGTTGCGTATTGCAAATTAATTTAGACCCATTTTTTCTTATTTATAAATAATGTGTGAACTATCTAATATTTTACTAAATATTATACGTCTCAACATATAATTAATTTATAATTAGTTTGTTGCTATTAAAAACTGAATGATGTTTATTATATATTATAAAAATTAAAAAAAAAAACACATAATTATTTAATTATATAGCTTAAATATTTAGTTAATTTGATTTACACAATATGATGTATATAGGTTTATTAGTTTGTTTTTTTAATCTATATAAAAAAAATATTGTGTTAAGTGCATAATGATAATTTTTATGGATAATAAATATCAAAGATTGTTTATAATAATTCACTATTATTTTAAGCTACAAGTATATGGTACACATAATAACAAATAACTTTTACTAATAATTATTGTAAATTATTTAGAAGAAAATACTACAATCATAATGTATACAATTTAATTAAATAATCATTAATACATATATATATATATATATATATATATTTACATAGTAAAATACATTTTTTATGTATACAGTATTAAATATAATATAAATACATTTAATTTTACAAAAATAAATTAACATTTAACATTTTTAATTTATGAAAAATTAATTTAATAGTCTTAATTTATGTTTAAATAAGTAACATATCTATAGTTTTTTTATTTTACTATCTATAGTGTTTATTTTCCAGGAAATTTTTTATTGTTAATTTTATAGTAAAAAAATCTCCAATCAGCATTATGAAATAGTTGTGAAATTCCAAACGTTACTGGTATTTTTTATATCTGTTCAATCGCAATTTTTTTAATATTAACCGGTTGTTGATCACTAAATGATATATTTTTTTACAAGATTTCATTAGTGCATTCAAATCAGAGGGCTCTAGTTCTGCCAAAATATAGGGAATCAATTCCTCAGGTAATCCACATAAAGAAGGATATTGACCAACAGTAATTTCCAATATGGCACATTTAATTGGAACACTAACCAAATTTTTAAATTTTAAAGATAAATCAAATAAACTTTCTATATTTTCACAAGAAATAGTTTCATCAGCTTCAAAATTAATGCATTTTGATATATTTGAGTGAGTTAATGTTAAAATTAATGAATCACCAATAGAAATACCAATTAAATGGCATAACTGATTAGACATTACTAGCTCAGCATGAAAATTTTCATTATTTTTATACCAAAATGAATTTAGTGGCTGGCTCTTAATCATTTTAGCTAGTTTAATATTTGAATCAGTTGAGTTGAATTTTTCTGCCAAAGAAGTTGGAATAAAGCCAGTTTCAACAGTGAATACAAAAGCAATGTTGAATAGTCGTTCTTGTCCTAGACTGGTAAGTGTATTTGACAGAAGTGATGAAAACTCAGATGATAGTGAACTCTTTTCTAAAGCGCATAATAAAAATGATAGATAGGTAAACATATAAAATAAATAATAAATAATTTAAATGATCTAAAAAGAGTAATGATTTTTAAAAATATAAAATTTATTATGTCAATATATTAAAAGTTTTAGTACAAATATAGTTGTAGATATTACATGTTATTAAACATAGTAAATAGAGTTATAAATAAATAGTACTAATTTTAATTTTTGAAATTTTTTGCAATGAAAATACAAAGATTTATTAGTTATTTATTAAAAATTTAATATCTTACAAATATGTACTTATCTCATATTTTTATGCATTTAGATTTATATCATTTTTTTTAAGTATTTTAATGTAAATATTGATAAAATGATAAATGTTCATGGATATGTAATTAGGTACCTACTTCATTAAATATTATTTTTAAATTATTTTTAATTAGATGCTCATATTTTTTTTTTATATTGGCTCCTTCTAATAAACAACTGTAGCTCTAAAAATACTTTATAAATTCTAGTTGGTATTTTAACGCATTTTCTAGAAAAATAAAAATTATTATAAATAATTACTTAGATTACTTAGAAAATGGATTTTATCACAACAACAATTTGAGTGTTATAGGTATAAATTTATAAATAAAATGATGTTAGCACACTGTTCATTTTATTTTCCTAGCATATGCATAACATAGACCAAATGTATCACCTAACGTAATTTTATTTTATTTTTAATGATTTAAAGTAATCAATCTTAATGTAAAATTATTACAAAAGTTATAGAAAATAATATTTTTGAGGATAAGATATATTGATTTTATATTTTATTATTATTTAACTTTATAATATTCAATCTTGAAAAAGAAAAAATATAGTAAAATAGTAATATTATATTATTATCTAATATGAAACAATGTAACGTAATGTACATAATCATCATTCATCAATCATCAGTAATATTTAATATACCTACTGGTTGTAATTATTTTAATTATTTTTTAAGTTATTGCATTTGTATATTTTTATTGAACGAACCAAAGAATTGCTAAATTAAGTAGTCACAAATTTAAATTATACCTAGATATCTATACAAATCCAAAATTTTATTTTGTATATTATAGTTTTATTATTTATTTGTATATTTTTCAAACTAATGTTAACTATGTACAAAAGTTAAAAATTATGTAATAGTCAAATTTAATAACTATCTTGTTTACTATTAAAAGGCCAATTGATAAATAAAATATAAAATTAATTTATAGTTGTGTTCGATAATGCAACATTGATCAACCTTTAATTTTGAATTGTAATTTTAAAAAGAAAATATTAATTTAATAATTCACATTTTGTAATTTTCTATTTAAATTTTTAAGTTTGTAATAAAATTATAATATCTTTATTTATGTATTTGTCAGTGAAATAAAAATTGTAGTATTTAAAGGTTTTTTACTAAAATGTATACATTTTATATTTTATGGACCAAGATATTATTAATTTACAAATAAAAAATGTATTAAACAGTAATTTTAGACATTTCTAATCTATCACATATAATTAATCTGATATTTTTTTTATATTTTACTCACCGACAGTAGCCATCACAATGCATTAATGTAATTGATATTATTATGATTTCACTTGATAATGTATAAATATTTAATAATTTATTTTAAAATAAGTAAATGTCCATGGAATGTCTGTAGTCTATCAGTTAATACTTCATAGTTCATAACTTTTGGGTTCTTAATATTTGATAGTAGATAATAAATTAACGAATAATGATTAGTCACTGTACTATATTATTCAGACCGACAATCGTCACCTTAGAATTTTGAATATGTATAGATCAAAATATTACCAATATATTACAAATGCTAATACTAACCAATTACTGACACTAAGTCACTTAGACATACGAGATACAAATCGTCGTAGTGACAGAGTTGAGAGTACAGTCTATATAGTAGTACACTCAACAGTAAACAATCAACACCGTAGGTATGTAGAGTGTATGGCCGCTAGTCATGTTGATAACAGCGATCAATATATTATCTTTTTATAGAATGTATTTCCATCACGGTTGAAGATCTATATTAAACCGTGATTTCCATATAGCTTTTGATACGGATGTTATCAGTCCATAACCTTGGTCCATGATGACTATCAAATTTGTCGATATATGATCTAAGGATAATTTGGTATGACCACAGTATGACGTTGATATTCAGTGCAACCATGTAACGGGAATTAATTTTTCTTCGTTATAAATTGTAAGTACGGTAACACATACGGATGCTTAGAAATAAACGTTTAGTAAATAGGTAATTACTAATTATTATTGAGATCTATTTGAACAATTTCGTTTCTCATTTTTTCAGTATCTTACTTCTCGCTCACCATCTTGGGATTGTATATTGTTTTCATTTTATTATATAGTTTTCTGACTTTTTTTTTCAATTTGTAACGGTTAACTGTGAATGTCAAGTTAAAGTAGATGGATTATGATAATCATTAATGTATTAAAAATTATACAAGAAAATACAAAATATTATTATCACTAAACACAAAAAAGACGTTGAAACTAATTTATAATACTGTTTTAACTTTGCCGAAATCCAATAATGTATCCTTTAGAACGGAAGGTAATTGTTTTTAAAAATTAGTCATCAGAACAAGAAACTAATATTATATTTCAATGTGTCACATACGATTTGTGTACAACCATCCATAGTGAATACCTATGTAATAAATATCTGCGTGTGTATAATGTATAAAGGTATGTACCTACCTTTATTATAAATTCTATACGGATTACAATATAATAGTTATTAGTTATTACTTATTACTTATTAATCAGTAGGTAATATCCATCGAATATTAATTTGATGACAACGGTGCAATGCACATTTAATCTATAACACGCAAATAGGCTAATACACCGAAATATTATCTTATTCGTTTGTAAAGTTGTACTACCTATTGTAAAACTATTAACATTTCACAGTATTTTTTTAAACTATTTTTCAATTTAAGAAGATATCAAAATACCAACCAAGTTTTCGTTATATTTTAAATATTACCTATACTTAAATTATTATTTCATATTTTACATTTGTTAGGTATGTAATAGTATAAATATTGAATTTTTTTAAGAATTTTAAATAATTTTTTCGTACATTTCAGATTATTTTATGGATAATTTACAATTGTACCTCCTAAAATGTTCAAGCCTTATAATTATAAATCATAGGTAAGAGCTTCGGACCTAAACTATTCCAATGATATGTTTATAGGATCTATCTAACAATATAATTATTTCTTACAAAAATTCGACACGTATGAGTATTAAGTACATGCAATTGAACTGTGAATTTCGAGAAGGGCTCATCTCAAGTTTTTATAAAAATTGACTTACTTAGTTATATTTTTTTATATACAAGTCGTATAAACCAATATATTATGACCATAAAGTCTGTACTTTTGGAAAATGAATTGCTAAAACAAGCTACCTAAATATTGTAACAAAAAATTTGTTTTTTATTTTTACTGAATTTTTTTTAGTATTCAGTTGTTACTTGTGAGTTTTTATCTGTAGTTTCTTAAGTTGAATCATTATTTTTTCAACGTTACAGTAATTGTATAATTAAAATTTGTAAAAATATATTCTCCTCCTGGATATTAAATGAATAACATAAGATAATGCAGTTATTTATTTCATCTATAAAATTATAACAAAAACATACAGTACTAATATGATAAAAATAGTAAATAGTTATTTTAAAATGAAATAAGCGGAAGATTGTCCCAATTAAAAAAAAAAAAAATAACTAAACAATTTAAGTTCCTACTAATATTTGTACAATAAAAAGAAACCGTCATATTATTAGTATTTTTATTCATGCAAAATATGATACTTAAATCAATTATGGAGTGTAGGTATAGTAGCTAAATTATGTTTAAATTATTAGTTGTTATATAATAAGTGTTGTAATTCCAAAAGTAAATTAATTAAATTCGTTATTAACGTATATTGGTATCTTGTAAGTAGGTAGGTATCTATACAATAAATAGATACGAAATGTTTTCTTATTAGGTACATATATAATTTTTGATTTCATAAAATATCTATATAGTTTACTTAAAAAACTGGGTAAGGAATATTAAAATATAATTGAGTTTTTATTTCTATCTTTGATGAGTACGTACGTATTTAATATTTAACTATACCTACGTACCTATTAGGTATTAATTATTAGATTACCTATATAACTATAATACCACAACATATAACTAAAATTTGATAATACTTTACTATATTTTTAGTAAAGTAAATTAAATCGCGTATAAATGAATATAAAAGTATTCCATCATAGGCGCAACTGTGAAAGTAACTGTAATATTTCGATTTGACCATTATCTATAAAATAGTAGGTAAATTATTGATAAAATTAACTAGTTTAACAAACAAATAAAATTACGATTGCAGATTTTACAAACTTAGTTTATAGTTTATTTATTTATAATGTATGTAGAAATATAATAGGCATATAAAAACAAGTTCAACATATGTATAGGTATATTATTTTTAGGTGTTAAAATGGCTGTATTAATTTCAATAAATGTTATATTATAGATTAATTGGGACTTAAAGAGTATAATATAAGTTAATTTTTATCTATAGAAATTAATTTTTTTTTTATTTACTTCTAATTTTCATTAATATACAAAAAACAGACTTAAAGTTTATCGTTATAGATTATAATTATGTTGTTATACAACTTGGGTACCTACGTAGTACTGTCCTACATTAAAGTTGTTTAACGGAACCCGATTTTAAACGAATAAAACGTAGATACTCCCTCATGTAGTCATGTATTAAGAGATCGCCACATCCGCCTGTATAATCTCCGCCTTTCAATTAGTGTAAAACACATTAAATATTATGTTCGAAATAATCCATTTTACTTTATATTATTTTTAAATTAGAGTAAATTAACCTACAATACAATTTAAAAGTAAAATTTTTATCTAGATCTATTTTTATCTTTTTTATCTGGCTTTAATTGACATTTTAATTACTAAGCAAATTATGGGTATTTTCACATTTACAAAAAATATTTAGTTTTAAAATTCTCATAACTTATTTTGTTATCTATTACGCCTTATTTTCAAGTCCAAGCTTTTTATCAAAAACAAACTATTAATATATAAATTAATACTATAACTTATCTGGGCCTATGGGCTATGACATCCAAACTTGGAGATGTATCAAATTTTCTCAAACATGTATCATCTAGGCTTTGCAATCAATTTCTTTTCACAAAATAGCATCTGTACCACGGTACGTTTTACTTTCATTACACAAAGACCTAAAAATTGAAACATCATACCAAAAAACTATTACGAAAAATTCCACACTAAATCAATCAACACACGAATCTTCTAGTATTTAACCTAGCTAGTGAATCCATCCCAGATAACCTACCTCCCCCACGTTGACTAAAAAGACACTGGTGTTGAGATCTTTTAAATCCCGATCTGTATTAATTAATTAGACTAAATTTTTCTCCTCCCAAGTCAGAGGGTTTATACAATAGTAGACCTTTTTCATCATATTTTTTTATGTTGCCATCTTAGTTTAGCTACCTAATTTACTTATTGTGTTTAATGATATTACAAATTATAAATGCATATAAAAAAGTATTATTTCGTAATCAAAATATCAATGAAAGTATTTAAACTGTACTAAATAATAATATTACATTTAAATTGTATTGTTGGTCAATTTACTTTAGTTTTGAAAACAATATAGAGTAAATCAGTAGAATGCATTATTATGAATATAAAGTTTGCTATGTTGTACGTTTGTAAATATTGCAAAGTACGGCAAAGGAAATAAAAAGACAGTGTTTATTCTCCCAATCTCGTTAATACCAAAATACCTGCTTTTTGATTTCAAACTTTATAATTGCCTACAGTATGCTTATCATACTCAATCACTTTAAAAAAGTCACAATAGAGAAGTTGATCGCAAGTACTATGGTATCAACCTACCTTCTGTCTCCCACGTGAGACGCTTGTAAATCTGATTTGACAATATAACTGTCTCACTTGTATGTATATGTATACAGTTCTGTATTAGGGATAGAAACAAAGCGATATCAACCTATCAAGAAGCCTTCGTTATCCATACACATAACTAACCACAACAATAGTAAATAAACTGTCCGTCTACTATCAGAATATTCGAGGGATCAACACCAAATTAGATATATTTACTTGTAATATCTCTTCTCATAGCTATGATACTATTATACTTACTAAAACCTATATATATATATATATATATATATATTAATGTAATTGACTCTGAACTTGGCCTTTGTTTCCTACATACCTACTATTATTGCAATAATCGTGAACACAGTGACAGAAATAATCAAATGGAAAAAACGTATTTTTATTAATTGTATACAGCCTTAGTAAATAATATCAACCTTAACTTATGAGAAATATTAATTTAAAATTTCAAGTTTTTTGTTTAACATTAATTGAAAAAACTAAGAAAAGTCTAAAATTTTTCATGCTTATAATTACCTTAAAAAGTTAAAATATAAGTCTTAACCATTTATAAGAGATTAGATACCTACTTATGTTCGTAGATGGTGAAAATTTCAAGTATTTACAAATATTTTGTGTTTGAATTTTACTCAAAAAATAAAATTGATTTTATTTACTTACATAAAAACTTGTGTTTTCCTTCATTCATTTTTTTTTTTTTTTTGAACTATTGTGAAAAATATTTGGGAATTTAAATTTTGATCTCTCAAAAGTACTTTAATATCTAAACTATGTGTACATATAATAAAATATAATAAAACTAGGTGTTATTAGGTAAAACTGTAAAAGTATTTAATATATATATATTAGATTAATATAAAAACAATAAAAGTTTAAAATACCTAACCTAACTTATTGTAGTTT